GAAGGAGCAAAGTATGTTTGGCATGTGGTCACCCCTGTTTTTGTCATCAGCCTCTCTCGCAGTTCCTGTGCTGGTATAGCCTTACAATAGCTCCTATTCCAGTGGTTGGCCTTCACTGTCTACAGCGCTCTCACAACCCACAGTCAGACGGCTCTAGGAGGTCCTGCAGCTCTGCTGGTTACAGTGTGGCAGCTTTCCAGTTCTCCTCTCTTAATGTGTTTATAAATGTGATAATGATATTATGGAATTAGATGTGTGCATTTTTCATCTCTGAAGGATCTGCTTTCTAAATATTATGCTGGCAAACAAACATATGGTTGTGGTTGGATGCGAAAGCCACATTTATAATCTCAGGACAAATTCAGCAACTCGAGTTGGCGTTTGGATCCCTGTTGGAATGTAAAATGCTTCTTTCTGAAACAAAAAAGGGAGAAAGCCAGCCATAGCGTTTTCTTCTGTATATCTGAATATGTAAGCAAACACAACGTATAACTTAAGAGATTTTATGCTGCACTTATATTTAATGTTTCATCATATTGTCACAAGGGCAGACTAGTCTGTCCCTCTGCCTAGGCCAAAAGCAACACTGCGAGGCCGTGTATCCCTACGTGCCCCTGTGGGGATCCCGAAGTGTTTTAATAATAGTGCTGTTCCCTTCTGCCCTGCCAGGTCAGTTTTTGTTGGAAGAGTCACGGCTGCTTGAAGCAGCAGAGATGGCAAAGACAGCTGCACGCCTTGACAGTGGGGAATTCGATGTGGTCTTCAATGCAGCCCACATGCTCAGGTATGTTTTTGATTGGCGTGATTTTTTTTTCTTTCTTCAGGTTTGATGATTTGCTTAGTGCAAGAGCATGCATAAAGACACTGGATGTATTTTATTCTGCCTAGATGAGATGGGTGGGCCACAGTTTTCCGTGGCTGAGTAGAAAGAAAGCTGTGTATGAGAGAGGGAGGTCTACTGTCTGCACGTTTTATCCAGGGGCTTACACCATTCCTCAGCCTCTGTGATTTACTTGGCTATACTTTGTAATCCTCTTCTCTTGCTGCAGTGCCAGCTCTAGAACTGGTTTATCTTAGTGCGTAGTG